ATGCAAGAGCATGTTTTGATATAGATTACCGAAGCCTGGGCTGGGGAGGAGTTCATACACGTGCCCCGAGCGGAAGCACTGATTCGAGGTCTCTGGGTGGGAAGCCAGTCTTGCGAAAAAGATGTTTCCCTTTCTCTCCCACGAACACTGATCTGAATCTTCAGGCACTGTTTTCTCATCCTTCCTATGGCATCTGCAATTTGATGTGCTAGCTGTAATAATATGCAGGTGACGGGTTGCCCAGACAACATTTGTTACCGTTACAACTAAAGGCCATTACCACAGAAGACGCTCGGACGTGGTGTTTTTCTGCATTATGGGTAGACAGAGCACTATTTTACCTTTTCTTTGCTTTGCCATGGTCAGAATGCACGAAGTATTAAATGCTGCCCTCTCTTTACCTGTTTTTTAGTGACGCCCACCACCTGGCACCCCCAGGGACTGCAAATCAAAATCCAAACTTTTGAATGTCCCTTATAGCCTGAATCCAACTTCTGCCCTTCCTGGTTCTTCTTCCCGTCTTGTCCGTGTGAAACCTCTGCTAGGGATGGCCAGCTAGATGCAGGCACCGGGCGAAGACTTGGGGGACAAGAAAGAATTCTCCAGTCCAGGAGACATGATGAAATACTAAATAGCCATGCATTTGAGCAAACATTTGTTGAATGCTTACAACGTGGCAGGCGTTGTCCTAAGGTTCTCATGTACAACTCAGTCAACACTACAAGGGAATGTGTTATTCCCATTTGAGGGATAGGGAAACTGAGGCATAGAAAGCCTCAGTCACATGCCTAAATTCATCGGCCTGGGCTGCCGAGTCTGCAAGCTTGCCCACATTGCCGTTGGCCTGTCCAGAGTGTGGTGCTTCAAACCCAGGGGAGAGTAGGGGAGGATGCCCAGGATTCATGAGTTTATTATGTAGACACAGCATTTCTGAAGGGATAGTGTGGCATGTAGGCGAAGAACTCTGGAAATGTTCTAGCACCTTCTCCCAGTTAGTCTGCTTCCAGGCCTGCATCCTGAGGAGATCATCAGGAATTCTGTCAAGAGTCACCTCTAAGGACGTCAGTCACATCGTTATTTCTCACTGCACAATTGGGACATGATCCATATTTAAAAAAATTTTTAATTATAATGTATTTGCATTTCAACATTACATTTTTGAGATGAATATGGATGTCCGAGCAGCATCTTGGACGTCCGAGCAGCACTTAAGTATACAGAGAAGAGTCTGCTTTTGGCATGTGGTAAACCAGATGTCCTGAAAAAACTTCCTGTTAAGATATCCCAAACTAATAAATACAGTATCAAGAAATGAAAACCTAAGTGCTTGGTTGAACCAGCAAGCGAGAAGGAGAAATCAGAGACTGAAAAGGAAACAGAACAATAAGAATTGAGATGAAGCCAAGGGCAGCCCAGGGATGGGAGCAGCCAACAGACCTGCGAGGCTGGGCGTGCTCATCTGGGGCTGAGGACCCTTCCACACGTGCACCCAGGGGCAAGCGCCAGGATGCTGTAGATGCTGCATACATCCCGGTTGGGTGTGTGCGGACACAGACAGTGGGGTGTCTGCATAGGAAAGATTCATGATGTGGGAAGAGAAGAGCAAAGTCACAACATGTGACAAGGGTTGGAATGAAATCTAAAAACAGGCAACCATAATATTAGATTTTTAAGCTTAACTCTAGGAATATCTTATAGAAAACCGAAGAAGAGATAAACACAAAATCCCTTGGGGGTCCTAGCGGGTTGGCCGTGGTTGAAGGGGCAGGAGGGACACATGCGGGTCACCGCCGCTAAACACACCTGTAATACGACGGAGAGGCTCCCTTCTAAGTAGGAAATACTTTGTACTTACAATTTTAGAAAAATGATCAGAAAAAAATATTAACATTTTTTGTGCAGTGGAATTGTGGTGATTCTCATTTTTTCCTGTTACATATCTAAATTTTCTGTTTTTTCGAAGTTCAGAGTGAAGGTGTTATTTTTATCTTATGATTGTCCTTTTTTATTATAAATCTTTCCAATATAGAGAAAATACTGGGAATAATATAGATGGAACACCCAAGTGTTCATTGTACCAACTTGAATAAATCTAGACATTTTGCCAAATTGGACTTTTTTTTTCATATAAGAGAGAAGATGAGACAGGAGGAGTTGAGGCCGTTCTGTGGCCCCACCGGACCTTCTTCAGAGGCAACCTCCCTTCTCAACTCGGGGAGTATTCCTGTCCGTGAGGTCACACGTGCACTGACCGTGTGGACCCGTAAATGGTGATAATCACACTCATGGAGGTTTCTATGTGCAGGAACCTTCTCCCGCTGGGTATACTCTTCCCCCGAACAGGCTTGTAAGACTTCCTCATGCTGACTCATGTAGGCCTTGGTCATTCCTTTAACTGCCGCAGGAAGAGTCCACAACACACCTTTCTGTGGCCTGACTGATGGACACTACGGTGTCTTGTCATCAAACACCACATGGCAGGAGTGTCCCGTGCATGTCTCCTTGGGTACAGCTGTGAGAACTCAGGCTTATGACCTGACGGGAAGGGCCTCTGGGATTCAGGGACAGATGTGCTCCCCTCGCCCAGGCATTCCAGATCATTCTCTGGGAGTATATGAGTGTGTGTGTGTGTGTGTGTGTGTGTGTGTGTGTGTGTGTTTGCCGATGTCCCTGTCTCTCCAGGGTCATATCCGACCTTCTTGGGCTCCAAATCTGAATGATGTAAATACCATCTCATTGTGATGTGAAGTCTCCGAATTCACATGCTTTTTCAATCAGACGTACAAACGTTAGAGATGCCCTTTGAGGTAAGTGACAAGATTTTACTTTTGGACAGCGAGACTTGCAAGATGACAGTGGGCATGACCAGGCAGGGACAGGCATGGAGGGAGCTTGCAGACGGACACGACATCAAATGTGACGTTAGAGGCACAGAAGGGCAAAGGACCCACAAGTACTGTACAGGGCTGGCCCGGGTGGAGGGCAGAGGCCATGGCGGGAGCATTGGGGGTGGGCAGGGGCTGCTAGGCCTGGGGGGGTGGGGACAAGGCCTTCTTCCTCGGCAGGCCGGGGAGACTCTGCTTCTTAGAGATTCTGGGTACTGCGACAGGTCAGAATTCACATTTTGTGCTCCAGGTTTCCTGTCTCGTGGAAAGCTGGGGCTGCCCCCGGGTCATCAGACGTTTAGCCCAGTTCTGTAAAGGAGAGACAGCAGCTGGGCACGGTGCTGAGGGGGCTCTGGGAGGCCTGTGGCCCAGCCATGCACTCCGTGGACCATCTCCTGCCCCAGGTCTGGAGCACAAGGCACGGGGCCTAACAGGGGTCTACAATCCCATCTTATCTGGTGAGATCCAAAACACACATTCTACCAGCAGCTTCTTCCATGGCTCATTGTGGTATTAAGGTACCAAGAACCTGTAGTTCTGAAGGTCACCCAATTCAGAAATACGCTTAGCTAAGTATTCCACCCAGCAACCCCAGGAATGGCACCAGGAAGGGACAGACTGAGCAGGGCCCCAGCCTTGCAGCAGACGACGTCGGCACGCCCCAGGCTCCGTCCTCCCTGTGTTCATGAAGCAAGAACTCAAAAAACATTTGCCTCTCTGTGTAGTTATTACCTAAAAGACAAACCTGATTATGTCACTTTGCTGCTCAAAGTCCTGGGGTGACTCCCTACTGCCCTCAGCACAGATTTTTTTAAAAAGTGTTTTTTAATGAAGTAAAACCCCTTTTCAAACCAAATCTTAGAATCCTAATGTCAGAAGCCAGAGGGTGTGAGTGGTGATTTTTACTACCTGTCTGTAAGCGCAAGGTTTATAATCTTCCTGTAACTACCCAGTGCATAAGCAAAGACACATGGGGGTCCGCTGTGAGTCTGGACTGGGGAAATACCCTATTGGATGCTGGCCGGGGTCTGGAGAGTAGACCCAGCCTGGGGTTTTGGCTGTTAGATGCCTGATGTCACGCGTCTGGGCCCCTGGGCACTCCCTGCGTGGCTGGTCCAACCATCCCCAGCCGTCCCCGGCCTGGCCCAGCCCACGTCTCCAGGCTGGGGTCTGTCTACACTGCCACAAGCATGAGGCATTCCGTCTGGTGAGTGGGTGACCTTCTTCCCTTCCTCCAGGACTGCAGAGGCCACTCTCCAGCAAGATCCAGCCCCAAAGCTGCCTTCCGTCCATGGCAAGCCCCTCAGCCCAGGGGACCTGCTCGTGGGGCATCTCGTGAATGGTCATTGGTCAGCTATCATATTGCATTGTCCTCGTGCCTCTCCCTGACAGTGTCAGGAGCCACTCGCATCCCAAGGACGGGCACCTCTTCTTCACTCCTTACAGCCCACCACGCATGAAACGCTGTGCATGGGAGAGGCCCTGAATTTGTCATGCCGAAAGGGTGACTAAATGAGGGAACTGATTTTTTTTTTTTTTTTTTTTTAAGTAAGACTTGTTGCCTTTGGGGAACTAAGAAAAATTAAGGCTTTTCATCAATGCTATCTGAGAGGCCTCCCTGGACAAAATGTTAAAAGTAAACAATTTCCCGGGGACCCAAGGCACACAATTCACTCTGGAAACTTCTTAAAAGGATGAGGTGAGGGCCCGGCAGCCAAGGATGTTTCCCGGAACTGGGGAGCGAAGCCCGGGTCTCTGGCTCCCATGAGCAATGAGGCTGCTGCTTCCCAGACGCCCAGGAAACAGCCTGGTTATTTCAGAGCTGAAGGAAGGGCCAAAGACAGATGGTTTTGTTGCGAACCCCAAACAAATGGAAGATGTTCTGGGCCAACAAAATGTAAATTTCAACCTGCAAAGGAACCTCAGCACACAGCTCACAGGACAGAGGAGGTATCCTGCTTTCCTTTGCACAGAAAGTGCCGGGTGGCAGCAGGCACATTTTTTTTTTTTTTTTTTTGGTTCAACCTCTTTGATGTGTAATAAAAACACATGAAATCAATGTAATTGCTATTTTCCTCTGAGCTATGATCTCTTTAATCACGGCCGCTTCCTTACCCAGAACGATGCCGTTGGGCTCTTCCGGCGGCTGCCACACGATCCGCACGGATGTGAGTCTCACTTCTGGGAACACGAGCCTTACTGGTGGGCCCGGGGCTGGAGGGAGGAGAGGAAACCTGTGAGCCAGGTGTTGATATGGGGCTACAGGGGGACGTGATGAGGTTACAACATTACATAGGGCTCTGTGGGCTGGCCAAGCGTTTGCGACCACAGGTGTCTCTGTTCATGGACCAGATGCTCCAAGGCCGTGAATGACTTTTGGAATCTAACTGGCTCCATGTGGCCCCCTAATGGTGTTGAGAAAACATCTCATTTAGAACCCAGCTCAGCTGCTTTTCCAGCCAGAAACGGTGCTCACAAACCATGCTGGGAGCCTGTGAGTGCAAGGGGCGTGAGGCTGCAAGTGTGTCAGGCCCAAGGTCAAGATTCTGCCAATGTGGGCTGAATCCTTTTGGGGGCTTGACACCTGCTATCAGGAGTTAGATAAATCCGATGACCTAAAGTCCCTCCCCATGTTTACAATGAATGATTATTCCCCTATGCACCGTCTTAGAAAATTAAGAGTTGATGTGCACAAACGTGTATAGTAATTCTGTGTGGTGTGGCGCCATTGCCTACCAGTGTCATGGCCCTCGTAAATATATTTACTTAAAGGGGGAGGCGAGTGGCCAGTCCAGAACTTCTTGTTGGAACTGAGTAGATTCCCAGATAAGAGGCAAGGGGCTCAGAACAACGAACACAGAGATAGGATTATGGGTGTTATAGTCATTCCGGGGCCGCTGAATTCTGCCTCTCACTATTAAGTGGAGAACAGTATTTAAAATTTTAAACCTGTGGTTTAAATAAATCTGTGACCCTTGTGTTTGGTAACATAAATGTAAGGAGGGTATGGGTTCAGAAGCCAGGACCAGCTGCAAAATATGTAAATTTCAACAGCAGGCTTATGTGGCCTCTGTCCCCTGCCCCATCCCCAAGCCCCATCACTGGGATCACACTGAAATGAGGGAGTGGAAAGCATGCTTCCAATCGCACTGTGGGAGAAGAAGGAAGAGCGTTCTGTGAGTTCCAGCCTCTACTTTAGAAGGAGGTAGTTGTGACTGGCCAAGGTTGGAGGTCCCTCGTACTTTCCGTTCCTGTAACCCAGGCTGCCATGGGTTCGCAGAGCAATGCTAACATCCTTGAGGCCACTGCCCCCCCATCAGACCCCAGCCCCCGCCCCGGGGCTCTGCATCCAGGACAGGACGGGGTGCAGAGCTCCTTCCTCTCCTTGACTCAAGCCCAGCGCTGCTGCCATCTCCCAGGAGAGCACAAACAACCGTGGGGCTGACTGAATGACCTCGGCAGACGCGTACCAGGAAATCGAGTTGTTGCATTTCTGCGAGAAGCTTCTGATCCCTAAGGTATGTGTGGGGGGTGGGGGCGGGGAGAGCTGTATTTCCCCTAGAATATATACCACCCCCTCCCCAACTATTTGCTACAGCCCATGTAACAATAAAAATGTAAAAAGAGATAACCTTTAAGTGTTTGACATCTGCAAAGTGGAAAAACATATGCGCTGATGATTTAGACTTCCATAAAAACAGAGCTGTCAAGAGGCGCTCGTTATCCCGGCCTGGAAGCATGGGTGTGGGAAGTCTGGAGCCCGCGGAGTCCACAGAGCCCGCTGCACTCAGGGCACGAACTTCTAGGGACCTCTTGGTGTGAGGACCGCGGGAGGGGCTGGCACCAGGGAAACAGAGGCACCCAGGCTGGGGGTGGGGCTCCTAACCCGATCTGTGCAGACACCGCCAGCCGGAGCGGCTGGAAGTTTTACGGCCCCCGCCCAACCCGGCCTTTACTGTGAGGCCTCTTTCAATTTACGACCGAAATTCGCAGAGGTTCATAATTAGGCTGTAAAAATTCACTCCGGGCTGAAATTGGCCATATAAACGCTCCGTGACTGAAAAACAATCCTGTTTTGTTTTTCTCAACTGAGAAAAGGTGGGGGGAGGGGGTGGTGGAAGTGGTTTGAAAATTAAGTTACTAATGACCAGCGCTCGGGTCGCTGGGGCTGTTGGAGCGCGCCGTTGCCGTACCGTCGTCCTTGGTCCGCTCCAGGACAGGGGGCGAGCTGGGCACGCCGTTGCCGATGCGGGTGAACGCCAGCACCTTCAGCTCGTACTGCACGAACTTGCGGAGCCCGGCCAGCAGCGCCGACTGCGTGTGGTTCCCTCGCACGACGTGACTGCGGGGCTCGGGGTCCAGGTCTTTGGCCCGGAACAGGATCTGGAACCACAGGGTACAAGTGTGTGGTCACGGGGGTGTGGGTGCCAGGAGGAGGTCCCTCCAGCACACGGCCAGCACCAGCTGACTGCGGACTCTCCTCCACAGCGCCTGTGTTCTAGGCTTACGGGTCTCGTTTCCATACGCTGGTGTTTTGGGGGGAAGACGGTCTCCGGGGCAGGAGAGGAGCTGGAGTCATGACCCGGGCCGAGGCTGGGCGGGCTGCCCCCGAGCCATGACTAACAAGATCCGAGGCGCACGACAGACAGTAGCCACACCAACCGCGGCCACGAGGACGAGGCCTCCGTCACAAACGCAGACAGTGTGCCTCCTGCAGAAGGAGCCGGCGCCAACCCCCCCACCTTGGTTTCCTAGCTTCTTGGGAAATTGGGCTCCTGCCTCAGGACAGCTGCTGTAAGTCCCGGAATCCCTGGCCCCACGCACAGACACAGCACCCTGGGAGGCGCCGCTCCGTGGCCCTGCCGGCTCCCTCTGGTTTGCTAAGTCCTCATTCACAGCTCACCCTTCCTGAGCGGGTCCCTCAGTCGGGGGCCCAGAAGGCCATGGAAGATGGCGGTCCTCAGGGAGGAACCTGAACGCCACAGGGAAAGCTCTCTTCACCGGGACCCAGGTCATTGCACCTGCCCAGTAGCAGCGCCAGGTCCAGCAGGGCCTGAGGCAGCCTGAATGCCCCGGGGAGTAGGTGGGGAGAACCAGAGACTAGGGATGGAAACCAGGAGTCCCCATGCCCAGAGGCCGTGTGGGGTGGCGTGTAACAGACCGGGGTGGAGGGGGCTGCTGGGCACATGTGGGAAAATCCATCCCTCTGCTCAGGGGAGGGGATGGAACACAAGCACACGTGGCTAAGTGCAAGTAGGACTGAACCCGGCAAGGGCTCCTGGAGAAGCACGCCCCCTCCTGTGCCCGCCATTGCCCGGGACTGCCCAGGGTGCTGGCGTGCCCGTGTGTGAGCAGGTAGCTCACACTGACTCGGCGCACGCTAGGAGCAAAGCGCTTCTTACAAAATCGAACCCCCTTGCTTCTCAGGCCAGACTCAGAGCCAGCCACCGCGGGTACTCCTGTTGTGCAAGCCTGGAAGCAGAGGCTCGAGTTTACGCAGCCGGCTCCCATCCGTGCCTTATCTGCGCCTACGTGAGGACGTCGTACCCGGGCCTCATCCCCAGACGGGAATGAAGTTTAGAGGAGACAACAGATGTGAACATCACAACACAGGCTCGTGCTGCAGGTCTGGACGTCCCTCTGAGCTCCTTGGTCTAGGCGAGTGACACGCGGGTGCACCTGCAAGGCCTGAGCACGGGACGGTCACCCCCGACATACCTTATAGCCCAGTATGAGCCCGTTCTGGTCCTGTTCGGGCACCGAAGCCCACGTCAGTAAAATCTGGGTGGAGCTGACGGCTTCAGCAGACACGTTTTCAGGTGCGGCTGAAGGAACTGCAAAGGCGAGTAAAACAGATTGGTACCCAAAGTCCAAGGGCTTCTGTAAATAAAGATCCAATTTTTACCCAATCAAGTTGTCCTTGAAAGAGCAATGAATTCTAAGCATTTTGGAGTGACCAGATTAAGCCTGCAGGGGTATGACAGAAATGTAAATCTCCTTAATATTAGCAGCAAATTCCACAAATCCGGGCTACTTAGGAGCTCAATCTTACCTGAATCCACCCAGCAAGAAAATCTGCTTGGTCTGTTTTTATATTAACTTGTGGGACCTGCAGACTTTGATCTCAGGTCACTCTCACACACCAGTTCAGTGATATCTCTGAACGTGGTATTTCGAGAGGGGGCAGAGGTGCTGGTGAGGAGGGGACAGCATGGTCTGCATGAAGGGGAGGGGAGGGAAGATTTCCTAGGCACTGAGTGCACGTCCTGTCCTAGGGGTCTCGGATCCACCGTCATCTCTAAGAGCCACAACGGCCCTGGGAGGCAGGGGTTATTAGCCCCATTCTGCAGATGGAGAGACCAAGGCTGGAGGACCCCCCCCCCAATATATTTCAGTGAGGGCTATTTCATGAGATGGGCCTGTGGACACGAGCTATGCAATTCTTGACCTGTGTATGTGTAGGATTTTATTCTCTTCTGTTTAGGTATATCATTGAACAAATTTCAGTTTGTCTTCTGTGTTTGCAATGGTTCGGACAGAAAGTGTGTAAGGACAAGAGTCAAGCTTTAAAAGCAAGGCTTTATATTCCAGATCATCTCAATTTGCTTTGAGAGTTTCCTTGTGAACCCATTTAAACTTTATTCAGACAGAAAAGAGAGATCCCAGAGCTCCCCAGCAAAGTCAGGGGATGCAGTGTTCACGGACAGGCACTGAGCACAAGGAAGCTGTTGGCTGTGGCCTGAAGGTCACACCTCCCACCACCTTCCGGAGCCTCTGTGGTTGAACAGGAGATGAAACCCTGCAAGTCCAGTGGGTTTCATGGACAGTAATACGGGATGGGACTTGGCATTCAATGTGGGACGGATCACTCTGCAGAGGAAGGAATGGAGGCTCCGAGCGGTCACCTGCCCACATCCCTAGTAAGTGACAAAACCACCTGAAGCTGAGAGGCACTGAGGTGTTCACAGGGAAGGAACAAGCTCACAGGCTGTGGAGCGAGAGCAACTTGACAAGAATCCCGAGCCATGGGACCTGGGGAAGCTGCTCTGCTCTTCTGGACCTTGACTGTCCCATCTGTGAAATGGCCAAGTGCAGCCCACCTGTCCTTGAACCTACCCTCTTTCTTCCCTGTGCCCATCCCCAGCACTCAGCTTTGCAATGAGCAGGCAATCCGTGGCTCTCTGTTCTGAAGAAAGTGAGACAATGACACCATAACCTCCCTTCCCTACCGAAGGAGGGTGAGTGGAAGGCTGTCAAGCCCCCAGCCCTTGCAGCATCCGTCCCTTCTCTGCAGGCCACCGCGGCTCTGTGAACAGAAGGGGGCGTGCCTTCAAGTGCACCTCAGAAGCAGGGATGCTCTGCTTACAGGGGCTCTCGCCACCCTCCATCCACAGACCCAGCCACCCTCCTTCCCTCCCTCCCTTCCTTCCCACAAGTACTCTGTCCTCCTAGCTAAGCGACTGTAAGCAGCTCAGTCATTTGCTCTGAACATACACAGTAACGAGGCTTCGCACAACAATGCTGCTCTCCAATGTCTGATTCCTGGATTTTCTTCACTGAAGTGATTTGGTCTTCATTATGGGTTGAACTGTGTCCCCCTCCCCGCCGGCCTCCATACGCTGAAGTCCTAACCCCTGGCAGGTCAGAATGGGACTTATTTGGAACTAGGGTCACTGCAGATGTCATTAGTTACATGAGGCCATACTGGCGAAGGGCAGCTAATCCAGCATGACCAGTGTCCTTCGGAGGGCATCGCAGGAAAAGACGGACACGCATACAGGGAGGCCACTGTGGCAAGTCTGGAGGGACGCGGCCACGAGCCCGGAAGCCAGCAGGAGCGGGGACAGGGTCCTGGAGCAGAGATTTCCCCAGGGTCTGCAGAGGAGCGGGACCCTGCTGACGCCTTCGTGTCTGACTTCTGGCCTTCAGAATGGCAGGAGAGTAAATCTGTGCTGTGTTAAGCCCTCATTCTGGGGTGCTTTGTTACGGTGGCCTGGGAAACTAATTCTTCAAGAAAAAAGTGCCAGGAGTCATGTAGGTCCTAGAGGTGCTGTCACCTTATCTTCCAGCTTGGCCAGGTCACCACCACAGCCAGTGGCTCCTGCAGACAGAGGCCGAGAAGAGAAGACCAAGGAAAGCCCGAGAAGGCACATTGCTGAGGGAACATGGAACTTGGGGTGTTGGTGGGCAGGGCTTGGCACCTTCTGGTCCCCAGACAGTGGAGTCATGGAGGCCTCCCGGCGGCAAAGACCTTGGCTCCAGCCCCAAGCCCGGTGACTTCCCGGCCTCCATGGCCCAGCGGTGGGCCTGTCCCCCCTACTCACCACATCAACCACCTTCAGAACACAGGCGTTAGACTGGTTGCTGGTGGAGGCCAGTCAACGTGTCCCCAGAACAGAAGAGTCACCTGTTGGTATCTGTTCGCATAAGGGTTCAGGGATCTTCCTCATACTTTTAGAGAGAGACAATGTCGGTCAGCCCACACCTGCTGGATACACTTTTTCTTCCCAAATATGTTAGTTGGGAGTCATTCCTATGGTTTGTCAGTCATTCAACAAAATAGTAGTAATTTATCTGAGCAACTAAGTGTCACAAAAAAGAATATTTATAATTTCAAGCTTCCTCAGCCCTCTAAGGGACACGTGCTTGCCACCCACGCTTCCCTGTGTCCCCTGTGACTTCTGGTGGCGGCTCCCGCAGGGCTCATGCACATTCTCCGTGCCCGAGGGGGCTCCTGCCACGGCAGTCACCCCAGGACATCGCTCACACATATGCTTATTGTGTTCAAGAAACAAGGGTTACTTGGCTACCTTGATTCAACTGTGAACTGAGTCATGACCACTCGAAGAACAGGCAAGCTGACAATTTATCAGACTCTATTTAGAGTAAGATGAGAACTCCAAAGGTGCTGCGTGCCCACGACAGCAGTGCTGCGTTCTAAGAACCGTCCCTGCCTGTAAGAGAGAGAGACTGTTGTCATAGCAACACAACGCGTCCGCCTCTCTAATCCGTAATGGTTTCCTGCAGGCCCATGTATGACACGGTGAGTGCTCAGTCCTTACCACGGATCTACAGATCACACTGATTTTCTAGGGTGTGGTAATATGCACATCCGTGTCCTGAAGGGCATCCACTGCCCCAGAGAAGGAAGGCCACCCAGTGAGTGGGATGACTGAATGGGGCACCAGGAGCTCGGCTGTGTGTCCAAGGACGGAGCCACAGAAAAAGGCCATGCTTGGGATTCTGTGTCAGTGGATTCAGATCTCACTGGGATCCCATCGGCCATTTAGTTACAAAGTATCTGTGGTTTTAAGATTTGGTAGGAAAAGAAAAATCTTTTCCATTATCTGTTTCGAGGTAGATTCGACTTCCTTTCCAAACTGCCATCTTGCATCTGGGGACAGTGTTAGAGATTCCTTTCATGAAGAACAATCCTGATTAAAATGCTTCTCTTTTCTTCATTCGCTCTCTCTCCAGGATTCCTCACGGCTCAGTTTTTTGATGTTTAGGGCCTCATTTATCCTTATATCATAATAAATCAGAGGATGTCACAAAGCTAGTTAGAGCATACTTCAAAATGGGAAACGTCATTTCAATGTGGTTCAAGATGTTCTGCTCTGTGCTCCCCACACCAGCTTTCTGTACGGCCATGACTATGGCATATGAGAGGACCCCTGTGTGGCCATCTCCACAAGACATTCGTCTACAGTTCTATTTTCCCCATCGGCTCCCTCCCCGCCTTGCCTAGCCATCAGCTGCACTCCACCCCTGGGCCTTGCAACACCTGCTCTCTCCTACCCACCCCCACGGGCTGAGGGGTGCCTGGCAGGATCTGTTCTAGGAAGGGGCGATTCCTCTGCTGGACCAGGGAAGGTAAGACATCAACGTTGCTGCAATGGGGAGGGGCCTGCTTGTCAGAGGTGAAGGGTTGCCCCAGTAGGAAGTTCTGGAAGCACTGTTCAAAGGTGGAGGTGCTGAAGCCCCAAAGGACCAGCAACATTGGAAGGCATGCCAGAGAAGGCCCCAGGTTGGGGGGACCAATGTCTGAGCGCCAGTACTCTTGGTGGAGAGGTCAGCCCAAGAGGGGTCCTAGGAGCCCACTTTTCCTGTACCCCAAAAGTCTGAAGTCTGAGTCATCTCATCTTGAAATGAAGATCAATAACCCTATTATTCAGTGTGATGAAAACATCTGGAGAACCAAAACTCTTCTAATTGAACAAACACCCCATTAAAAGCCAAAAAATAATTTTCTGTAAGCCAGAACCCTCAAAATAAGAAAGAATGTGTGAGCATAAAGCAGAACTTACATTGCAAAGACAATTTTGAGACCAGAAACTTTCTCAATAAGCAAATGATGAAATCGATGCAGTTAGTTTTGGGGGCCTAGTTCCAGCCTATGATTGTCCTTTAGTTGTGCAAAAATATGTGTCGTTTCTGTCAACCAAGACAAAAACAAACTCATCGTGCCTTTTTTTTTTTAATACCAAAGCTGCACCTTGATATTAACTAAAACACAGAAATGCCTACAAAAACAATATCATTCAAGAGAGTTTCCTCAGAGTTATAGGGTAGGAGGCAACGCAAGATGGTCTGAAGGGAACAGAGCTAGAAGCAAGCATCTGGGGTGAGCTGACGCCTAGAGTGATCTCCCCAGCATTCTCCTGACCACTGTAAAGGGAGCTTTGCAGCAGCTGAACAGATTTCTACAAAAATATAGTCTCACCTCAGCAATTTTGCCATGAGTTTGTCTTTTGAGAGTGTTCTTTGGAAACCTAACAAAACAGTATTATTTTCCATTTTTATTACATTTTATTCAACCTTATGTGTTATTTAGCTTACAGTTTCCGGAACAAAATCCTTGAAAAGTAATTTAGCTGCGTGTAACACTTGAGGTTAACAGTTATTTTCCCTCAGCTCCTTCAAGATTATTCTCATTCCATTATGATTCCATTGTTCCATTGTCCTCTGGCCTCCACTGTTCTTGAGAAGTTGGCTTCAAATTGTCTTGTCTTCTGTAGGTAAGATGCCTTCCCTCCAAGTGTTTTCAAAATTTTCTTTGGTTTTCATGCTCTACAGTTGCAGCATAATGTATTTCGGTGTGAATTTATTTTATTTATTCTGTGCAAGATTCACTTTTCTTCAGTCTGATAAAGTATCAGTTCTCAAGCTTCTTGGCTATTATCTGCCTATATTTTCTCATTCTCATCTCCTCGCTCCTTCCCCTCTGAGTCTTATTAGTTATATGTTGGGCCTTCTCATTCCATTCTTTATGTCTTCTAACCTCTCTGTCACGTTTTCAGCCTCAGTGTCTTTGTACTATATTTTAAGTTATTTACTCATACCTAGTTTCCGGTTTGGTAATTTTCTCTTTAGCAGCATCTAAACTGCTTTTTACCTAATGGTAGCATTTTATTTTCAGTGGCTGTGTCCTATTTGTTTTCTTAAAGAGTGCTTCCAAAGTGGCAACTTTACCTAAAGTTTTAATGCTTTATTTTCATAATTTAAGACTACAGCCTTATTTTATATTTATTCCAGTTCTTATCAGGATATAATTGATACACCACATTGTGTAAGATTAATGTGTACAACATGTTGATCTGAGACACTTATGTACTGCAAGGAGACTACCACCATAACATTAGCTAACACATCCATCGGTCACAAAATTATTGTCCCTTTCTTGTAGTGAGAACATTTAAGATCTACTCTCCTGGCAACTTTCAAGTATATAATGCAGTATTATTAACTATGATGATGATGCTATACATAAGATTACTCAGAACTTATTCATTTCACACCGGGAAGTCTTTAATAATTTTAAACTTATATAAATAAGTAAATAACTTATATAAGTAATTTTATACTTATTACATATTCTCTTTCATACTATTATGTATTTTAAAGCAGTCAAGGCCCTATTTCCTCCCTACCTCCTTTCCTTTCTTCCTTCTTTCCTAAAACAAAAAAGATCTTACTCTTACTCATACCAGAGTATTTCCTTGTGTGTTTGAAAGTTGTGACTTTATCTTTAAAAGCAGATTTTTCTTTGGGACAAGTTGGCTGTGGCAGTATCTCTCCAGAGATGTTTCCTACTTTGGTTGCCCAGAAAGTCTGGCCTTTATCAGATGGGTCCTTTATCAGATGAAGGATTTGCAAATACCTTCAATGATTGGGGGACTGCTTTTAATTGTTGTTTTTTTACTTTATGGTGTTCTTTGAAGCACAGAGGTTTTTGTGTTAGTGAAGTCTCTTCTTTTGTGGCTTGTGCTCTTGGTATCTGGAACGAAGTTTTCCATTGGTTTCTTTTCTAGGAGTTTCTGGACCCAACAGAGTAAATTCAAAACTCAAACCTGAGCTGGGCACAGGACTTAGAGTTACATTTTTTTCCTATTCAGAGTCTGGGTAGACAGGTGGACTTCCTGTCTACTTCCTGTCCCTGGGCAGAGATTTTCAGTCTCTCCTTTCAATGGGGGTACAGCATTCAGGAGCCTCATCTGTGTGCAGAGACCTTGATTCTAACTCACCCCCCCCGCCTTGTGCAAACTTGTGGCTGAAACTTCTATCCTTGGCTGCAAGTCTCGAAGATTCTAGGATGGATGTCCACCTCCCAGGCCAACCCCGGGGTGGCCACAGGACCAGCGCAGCACTTATGGGTTCAGTCCCTGTCTGCCTCTGACTTCTGGGGATTTCCTCTGGTTTTCTTATGAGGACATCAATACATTCTAAATCTCAATGATATTTTGTCCATAATTTTCTAGTTACTTACAGCAAAGTTTTTTTTTTTTTAATGTTTTCTTGCTCTGCCTATTGCTGGGGTTAGAACAGTCCCCTTAGAATGTTTCAAGTCCTCCTTTTTGTCACAAAGACTGAATAGAGCTTTTTAGAAATCCATGTGAGCACAGAGCCACAAGCTGAGTGTAGTGTCTCGATCTTTTCTTTCTAATGTAATAAAATCTACGGCCTGAAAGAAAGCCAGGAAGGCATCTGAGCCAGCCCCAGCTACTCCGGCAAACCCCTCTTCAAATATCGGTCCTCTTGGAAGGGGAGCACTACGCTTCCTTCTCTTCAGGAGATAACCTCGCCATTTCAGACCAGGTAGAAAGAACTGGTCTGTGTCACTGTGCGTCTTTAAACATGACTGGAGCCCTCTTTGTCACTCCACTAACTCAAACCAGGCTAGCAGGGGTCCCCTAAACCACAGGTTAGCCTGCAAAGCCTGAGAGATCAGGGGAACTCACTGCAGCCCAGACTGCAGCCCAAGACGACTGAGTGCTGACCCGAAGTACTTAGTACTTTTCCTTTCCTCCCTGGGTGCCAACGGTAACCCCGAGCCTGGTGGCTCTGTGCAGAGGGGTGCGTGCCATTTGTGGATAGGTGTTAGGGGCCGGGGTGTACGCTCTTTGCTCCTTCTTCTTCCTCGGGTAGCTGGGCCCGGACAAGGATTGGGCCAATAGCACAGCAGAGTCTAGGTCCCTGAATTATGAGCCCCCTGCCAAACAGGACCCCGTCCTACTCAATAATGAGCTTGAAATGAAGCTCTGCTGTGTCAAAGGCAATCGAACCTTCGAGGGGCTACTGTTAGTGCCGGGGAGATGGTCTCAGCCCCTCCCACACACTTCTTTGTCAAGAGGAGGTCCGGAGCCTTGTGTTATAAAGATCTCCCTCAGAATCACTATACATCCTTGCTTACTATCATTAAGGGTGAAAGTCATACCTAAATTTAAAAGATAATACCATGAGTCCAGCCCCCAGTAAGACCCATGATTAATTTCAAATTAGAGGCTTGGACTCTAATGACATTTTCCTGAAATTCCCACCGACATTGACGTAATTACTGGGTTAGGAAAATACTGGCATAGACATGGGGGGGCAGAGTCACTGAGATGTGATGTGGGGACAGGGGACACGGAGCCCCATCTCCAGGGAGACCCAGGTCGGGGCTGAGCCTCTGCCTCACCTGACTCCCGTGTGCGGCCCCGCACGGCCTCGCTCCAGGGCCCGGCCCCGATGGCGTTGAACGCCTGCACCTGGAGCTCGTACTCCGTCCACTCCTCCAGCCCCTCGATGGTGAACTCCCTTTCCAGCCGGTCGTGGATGGCCTGCGCCAGCGCCGGCGCCTGGAGGTCGGGGCGCCAGTACTTAATCCTGTAGCCCACCGACTCGGGGTTCCCGTTGTACTGGGAATCAGGCAGCGGCTGGAAGCAAATGACACACGTGGTGAGCCGACATCTCAGAACCACCCCGTCAAGGTCCCCAAGCGTCCGCCGGTCTTAGCAGGCCCCGTCCATGGAAAATACTTTCCGGGGGGAATAGTCTTAGAACCTCTACCACGTTGTTCCCTGGAACTCTTCTTCTGTTAATTAAATGAAATCCTGTCAGTAACTCGGGCTGGACATAATTTCTTTTAATACATTTTGGCTTAGTTTTGTGGGGGAAAGTTTCTGAATAAATGTCAAGCCGCTTCTCCTACAAACACCGAGTGTTGGCTCCGCGCTCACCCAGCTTAAGGACTTATGGGTCCGGCCTGCGGCACCACTGGCTTCCCTCCCCCAGAGACGACGCCTCCAGTCCAAGAAGCCAGTGAGTAATGCTACTACTCCTTAGCAGGATCGCCTGGGCTGGTCTGCGACCCAACAGCAACTGTGAAATGCAATACTTTTTGGTTTAATTAGCTCTGACTAGGACAAAGCCATGACTGAGAGACCCCTAAGCTCTGGCTTCACGTGCAGACATGGACACTCCAGGCAACTGTCCCTGCAGCCAACTTCCGACCCCCAACTCACCACCCAGCGGAGCCGCAGGCTGGTCTCACTGGCCGTTCGCACGGAGACGCTGGTGGGGGCCACATCGGGGGGGGCCTGCAGGGTCTGGATGACTCGGGATGACTGGCTAAAGGGGCTGGCACCAACGACGTTCACTTGCCTCATGCGAAACCTAGATGGAAAGCCGCAGACAGAGTTATTCTGCAGGAAAGACAGAACAAAAACCCACCACCTTCTCAGGATGTTCTGCTGTGTGTCTGTGTCATGAAGGCTGTCCCGAGGATGCCCTCTTTCTACCGGGTTTCATGAAAAATGCAAATTGCATATTTGGCCCTTCCCACTAGAGTCTCCAAGGAATGGTAAATTTGTTCCAACGCAAAGATTTTAAATTCCCAAGCAAAGCATAACTGAATGGGTTACATGGCCAGAAATCTGTCATCAGATGCCACTGGTTGACTTGTGTTTAGGGTAAGGCTGGGGATCAGAGGGCAAGGAGCCAAATGATGGCCTTGAGAATCTGGTGTCGTTTCAATGAGCACGGGTGCCTGTACCCCATTTTCTGTTGGCTCAGGGGAGGAGCACTGGCCCCAGAACCCACACCCCAGGACTCGGACCCCATTGGAACTGAGACCTGAGGCAAATCAGACTTGCCCCCATTTCCTTACCTACAGAATGAGGGTGCGATGGACGTGCTTTAGAGCCTCGGTTAATATTTTTGGTTCTCTCTCCTCTATTTATTTGTACAATTACTTGGAGTGATCTTCTCCCCAGGAAACATGCCCTGAGCACACACGCGCATTCACCACAGGGGCTGGGAGATGATGGGGGTCTCCAATCACAGTTTCTGACCTTGGCCGTGATGATACAGCTGGTACCAGCTTCACAGGGTAAGCTTGGAGCCCCCGCAGCTCACTGTTTGAGAAATGTTTTTTCCTCTAAAAACAAGTGTACGGGGCCTTGATCCATCTGCTCTGATCTCAGGGAGGATGTCACAAGGAACAGAGGCTGAACAGCAGCTCTCATTAGGCATTGTTTTAAAAAGCTCTAATGTTGGTATTATACCAAAAAGAAAATGTTCTTCATGAAGATGTAATGTCACCTTTTACTCTCTGAATTAGTCATTCTTAGTCTTTTACTCCCCGATCTTATGAACAATGACATTATCAAACCCAACATCTGGTGATAACTGGAAATTTCATCTCCGTCAATGATCTTACGGGAAGTTATAATGTCTCTAACGGCTTGTGATCACGCTACCCTTTGTTAAAGCCAAGGATTTACTGCCTGGATAGGTTTCAGGATCAAGAAGCGAAAGGTTACACGGCGTGTTAAGTGCTTGATTAGTGAGCCCCGCCACTCCTGCATCCCAGGAGGGGGAAGGAAAGGACGTTCCAGGGAAGACTGCTTTGTTTACGCACGCATGTTAATAGTCCCAAGTGGTTGTGGACTTTGTGGGGAAAAGCCCCACCTCTCGGCTGCCCATGGCTCTTGGTATTGAGCCCAGTGGAAGAGTGAGCCATTGCAGCTGGCGCTGATGGCTGGAGCGCTGCGGAGCCAGCATCGGGTCTGCACTGGAAATAGTACTCAGCCATGCGTCTTGCTCCAAAGGTTCAGTGGACTGTTAATACCTCTTGGAAATGTCTCAGTTATATGCATGGAATCGGGTTTTGCTCTTCTGGGTTGAAGCCAACTGTTGGCATTGCCAGCCTTCCTCCTGTGGTGGCTTATCACCTGCTGCTCTCACCTGTAATGAGTGTAAGGTGTGAGGTTTGGGATCTCCAACATCTGGGCGTCGGGCTCATTCTCCTCCTCGTAGAGGCTGACCCACTCCTCCTCATCACCGATGGCTCCAACCTATGGGAAAGATGATGCTCATATGGGATGGATGAGCTGGGGCATGGAGACGGCCATGTACAAGACATGTGGCTGCCTGGTGTGTGTCAGGCTGGCAGAGCCATGCGTGTCCCCGACATGGGCAGATAACTGGATCTTGCACACGCGCCCTCAACTAAGCCCTGGAGATATGGCTCCTGCTATTCCCGTCAAGGTCAGGACCTAGAGGATGAAGTCTCTGGGAACAAACCCCCCAGGGCTAATCCACCATGAGAGAGGACCTCCCATGCCATCCTGCCCTTCCTCCTGGTTGACATGCAAGGACTCAAAGAGAGGCCCAGAGAGAAGACTTGGCCAGGATCCCACTTAGGGTCCAGAGCCATTTCCACTACACACTGACCAAGCGGACTCTGTGTCTCCCTTTCCCACCCTGCCCATTTCTGTCCCAAACACACACCAAAGAACCAGCGCAGGCCTTGCACAGAGAAAGACTGGGCCCTGCCCTGGGAGTCAGACCAGCGGGCCAAGTCAAGAGAGCCATGAAGGGAGACAACATGACTTCATACCAGCCAAGAAAGCCCTAATTCTCCAACACAGGTTTCTGCATCCCTGTGCCAGGCACATGTGGCCTTGTGCAGGCCATGTGGCTCTGGGGGACCTGGCGGACGCGTGTGGAGGGAAGGCTGGGAACGCAGAGGGGGTTTCAGGCCAAACAAGCGGGGGTGAGGTGGGTCAGCCCAGGCCTCTTTGCTTTTAACGCTCTGTAAATATGTCAGATGACAGTGCAGAAATGTGCTCATTAAATCTGCGGAGAGATCATTCGGCAAGTGGCCAGGTGGCTGGAGGACGGCTTAAGAATTTAAAGTCTTGGATAACCGGAGAAAGGTTCAGGAGGGCATGGAGGAGGCCAAGCAGACACAGAGCTGGGCGGCCCACCTCCTCCAGGAAGCTAAGTGCAAACTCGAAGCTCGGAACAGCCTGCACTGAAAGCACAGACACAGTCGGCAGTTCCTCAGAAAGTTAGACGGAGGATAACCCTGTGGGCCAGCGAGTCCACGCCCAGCGTCCAGCTGGGATGACCCAGAAGCTGGTCCTCTAGGGAGCACGCGAGCACTTCTGTTCCTGGCGGCTCTCTTCACAGCGGCTACAGGGGAAAGCCTCACGAAGGCCGGTCGCAGGAGGCACAGAGGAACACTGTGGTGTGTCCACACGGGGGAGTCCTAGTTAGCGGGACGCAGGCACCTACAGTCTACGGCATGGGCAAACCTCGAAAACACGAGGCTAAGTGTAAGAAGCCAGACCCTAAAGACCATGTTTATATGATTCTACTTCATAAAATTCACAGAATAGGTAAATCCAGAGTCAGACTGCAGATGGCAGGTGCCAGAGGCTGAAGGAGGGAGCTGGGAGTCACTGCTTAATGGTACAGCATTTCCCTTTGGGGTGATGACCCCAAAACCAGGTAGACACGGGGGTTGCGGAGGGTCTGCACTCAGAGTTGGCTCTATGCCCGGCTCAGGGCAGAGCACGTGGCACACAGCAAACGGGATGGGGTGGCTCAGTGGGTTAAGCATCTGCCTTGAGCTCAAGTCCTGATCCTGGGGTCCTGGGATCGAGCCCAATATTGGCCTTCTCTGTTTGTGCACTCTCAAATAAATATATTAAATAAATTTTAATAAGAAGTGTTAAAATGTGGGACGACTGGCCAGAACCATTTGGTAGAAAAGACCTAGAGATCAGAGTCCATGAGCAGCCGGGAGACAGAAAGCAGCGAGGCAGTTGAAGGGGGCAATGAAATCAGAAAACGAAGCAGTTTCCACCACTGGCTGGTGACGGGGGGACAAGGCGGCCAGCATCCTCCAGTCCTCAGCCCTGGGACCCCCACTGGAGCCTGCAGACCCTCACTTCAGAGACACAGAAATGAAAGAGGGAGAAAACAGACATAGATCGAGGCTCAATCCAGGTGGCACGGAAGCATGTCTTGGAGAACAGGAGGGCCAGGCCAGCCCCAGACAGCACTGCATGCCCCCAGGGCCCACAGCCGTCACCTGCCGCCTCCACTGTGCCTGTGAAGTGGGAGAGGCCCGGCAGGGGAAGACTGGCCAACACTAACCATGGCCTGGGTCCATGCAACGCTGCTGGGCAGATGGAGGTGAGTCCCTCTGCAGGTGTGACATCAGGGCAGCGCACGAATGTCCACGTGGGAGCCTTGTGTGTGGCTCAGTGTCCAGCCCGCAGGAGATGCAGTGGGAGTCTGTGGGATGAATGGCTGAGGGCCGGTCTCGGCTCTGCACAGCTCACAAATACCTTCTGAACCCTCAGCAGCGGGGCGAGGAGGTGGAGAGGGCGGGAGGGCTGGGACCACGTTCTCTGCTCAGTTATCGCTGCTCTATACATGAACAAGATTTATGAAGGTCTTAAAGCCAAAACGCTAACAATTCAGCTGCCCTGTACTGAGCAGCAGGCCCTGCGGACAGGGCCTCACGGGAGGATCTGGTGGTTTCTGAGTCCCAGGTGACAGGCAGCTCCTTTGAGTGAAAGGGATCCCTGGGAGACTGAACCAGAGCACATGTACTCGTTCTTGGAAGACAAGTTTGGGGGGGAAAAAGGGAGAAGGAAAGAAAAAAGGAAGAAGAGCCAACTTCAGTTTCAGGGCAATCCGTTCAAGAGTTTTTATTTACCGCCAGATCCCAGGCTGAGAGAGCGCAGGCGAGTGGGGTACTCAGGACACTGAGGGATGGAGGCGAGCGCCAGCCATGGGTACCTGCTCGTGGCCATTGGGCACTGCGGCACCTGTGCTGCCTGGTGCCTTCATGTCTTTACGTGTCTGCCTGCGTGTGGGGGAAACCTGCATGCTCGGTGCCGCTTTTTGGCCAAATCCCCAGCCGAACCGTGGAGCTCTCTTGTGCTTTTGCAAAGCCACTCCCCTCCCCTCCTCTCTCCAGGTGCCCTAGCCTCAGCCCTCCAACTGTGGTTGCTTTCTTTGAGCTCCTGGGGCAGAGGGATGTCTCCAGGCTAAGAAACAGCAGAGTGGTGGTGGCAAGTGCTTGGCCTTGGACCCTGGCTGTTGGCATTCCACCTGCCTGGTTGCCTCCCTGGCCTAGAGGCATCCATCTGCCGGCCGGGTGGCTGCCCTGACCCCGTGGCCATCACCCCTCCCCGGCCATGGCTTGCTCCTGGCCACACAGCTGCCATGGTTGACAGGGCTCGGCATGTGGCCTCAGCGGGGTCAGCAGCAGTCAGCTGCACTGGGTCCCAAGCCCGTTCCACTCACGTGCCTGTAAAGATGGGTGGAGAACTGGCAAGGCCTCCTTCCCGGGCCAGTGGCGGGGCTTTGAGAAGGGAGGACAGGATGAAGCAGCAGGCTCGTTTGGGTCTTGGGCCAGGTTGGCCCACAGCTCTGCCGCCAGGACGTGGGGTGGGGGGCATTGGATGAGGACTCCTACTTAGCCTACCCAGGGAAGGAGGTCCCCCAGTGGAGGGCCGCTGAGCAGGGAGGGCTCTCCTTCTGGAGTGCCAGGGCCCTGCTCACCTCCACCAGCCCCAGCCTCCTCCTCCTGTGAAGGTGGCCGCTGGCTGAGGGCAGGGCTGCTGTTCCGCCTCTAGCAGTAGGGCTGACACTGATGGCTGGGGAACCCCAAGGTCACACTTCCCGCCTTCTCACAGAGCACTCTGTCTTCTTTTGTATAAAACCTGGATTTGAACGTGTGCCGAGTGAGCGGTGAGGCCAGGTGGCCCCATACAGCTTCTGGGCTCTTCCTGCCACTTCTCCCTGCAAAGCCAGTCTGTCATTCTGGGGAGGTGTCACTCAGCCTTAAACACCTGTAGCTCGCGAATGTTCTGCCATCTCTCTGGAGGGCGCCTCCCCCTCCTGCTCCTGTCCTGGTGGCTGGTGAACTCCTCCAGAATCCACAGAGCACCTGGGCCTCTGGGAAGCTTCTGTGACCCACACCCCACCACCCCCAGCTCTGCCCCCCCACCCCCACCAGGCTGCTACCTCTGTGCTATCAGGGCATCATCCCTGTCCCTGACACACAGCGCTCCTCCCACCTGTCACAGTCCCTTAAAGACACGACTCTCTTACAAACACATGGTGTGTGTCCAGGATTCCTTTTGCTCACAGATGAGGGAACCAGCAAGGGTCTAGAAATGGTTCAGACAATACCAGATTCAAAGTACGGGGGTCCGCGAATGAGGACGCTGCGACAAGGTGGCCAAGTCAGAAGTAAGGCCAGCTACAAGAGCACGGCGATCATAACCTCTGGGCGTGCGGCTTTCCATCTCCTCTACGGTTGCATCGAACTTCACAGAGCCCGGCCGAATCATAAACAGTAAGATGAACAGTTATAGTTCTTAAGACAGATGAGCCTTAGGAGTCAGTGCACTCTGGCTGAGGGCCAAATCTGGCCCACCTCCTGTTGTTGTAAATAAAGTTTTATTGGAACACGGCCACACTCGTTGGTTTGTGTACTGCCCGCCAATGGCTATTTCCATGCTCCTGTGGCAGAGCTGTGTGTTTGTCACAGAGACCAGCTGCCCGAAGGCCTGAAGTATTAACTGCCTGGCCCTTTACAGGAAAAGTTTGCCATCCCCCCTCCAGCATTTCACCCACAGGACATGCAGCACTCCCTCTGCCTTGCTTCCGAGGTGTCTTGCCACGTGTGTTCTCCCTTTTGTCCGCGTGAGAGCCCCCAGGCATGTTCAGGGTCTTACTCCTCTCTGTAGCCCTGGCATCTCCCCCAGGGTTCCAGCCCAGGCTGTTGGCTCCACAGACGAAGGAACATGAGGGAACACGTGCACGGTTTCCAAAATCGATATTGAAAATGGGTTGTCCTGCATTGAGCTCCGAAAGCAGATGATTACCGAAAATGTAATTTTACTTATAGACCTCTGAAGGGGGGATGGGGTGCTTACATTTCTATAATAAAAGGTTTACATTTTGATCTAAAGCGACCAGAATTCTTCTTAGTGAGAAACAGAAGTCTTTTTAACACTTGCTAGGCTCCTCTGGCTCTCTAGTT